ATGTCATTATATTGTATACCTAAAATGTATCAATAAAATAAAATTTAAAAAAATAAATTTTAAAAATTTTCATTACAGTGAAAGAGATATTGCCAAGAATTATGGGATAAAAGTGCTTAACAAGAGGGAATATTCTGAGGGAGGTTAATGGCAATGTGACTTTTACTATTACAAATTTTTAAAAAAATCAGCATTCACTATATTTTCTGATCAACAATTTATGGCAATTCTGACAAATAAAAACATTACAGTGTGTTTTTATTCCCTTGTTCACCAGATCTGGCATTGTGCAACTTCTGGCTTTTCCCTAAAGCTGAAATGAACATGAAAGGTAAACATCTGTATCAATTCAGGAGGTGGAGGCAGCCAAGACAATGCAACTGAAGACATCATGAATGAGGACTTCCAGAACTGCTTCAGAAAGTAACTAGAATGATGGGATAAGTGTGTTTGAAGCAAAGGGGAGTATTTTGAGTGGGATTAATGGTAATGTGCCTTTTACTGTAATAATCTTTTAAAAACTGAAATATTCATTTCACATGATGTTATTCACACATTTCTCTAGCCCATATAAAAACTCTCAAGGATCTTTCTCCAGGTTTTTTGTTTTGTTTTTGGTGTTTTATTTTGTTTGTGATGCTAGGATAGAACCCAAGGTTTCACACACGCTAGGCAAGTGCTCTACCAATGAACTACATCCCCAACCCTTTTTCTATTTTTGAGGCAGGATTTTACTAAGTTGCCCAGGCTGGGCTTGAACTTACAATCCTCCTGCCTCAGCCTCCTGAGTGGCTAGAATTACAGATAGGCTTCACTATTCAGCTCTCCAGTTCTTTGTGGTTGTGCTGTTATCCAGCTTTGGGTGGCTGTCAAACCAATCAGTGGACAATTTAGTATTGGGCTGGTGCCCAATACTCTAGATATAATTGTCCTCCTTGTGCTATGTTGAGGAAAGGAAATTCTGTAGTGAGCTATACTGGTCTGGCCCTTTCCTTTCCTCTCCTCTCCTTTCCTATCTTTTCTTTTGTGGTACAGGTATTAAACTTAGGTCTTCAGACTCATCCCCAGCCTTTTAAAAATATTTTTTGGGACAGAGTCTTGCTAAGTTGTTGAGTTACCCTGTCTGGGTTCAAATTTGTAATCCTTCTACCACAGCCTCCCCAAGTTCTGGGATTATAGATATGTGCCACCAACACATAGCCTGGCTCTTTATTTCTCATCTGGAGGGAGTTTTGTCAGAGGAAGTATGGTCAGGTTCACAGCCAGGCACTAGACCTGGTCAACTATATAGGTATGAGCTCTGTGGCTCATGGGTTCAGTAATATAAGATAAGCCATTACACAATGACTTAGTTTCTTTCCTCACTGCTGAGACAAAATACCCAACACTCAAAGTTAAAGCTGGAAAGGTTTGTGTGGCTCATAGTTTGGAGAGGTTTCAGTTCATAGTTAGTTGGCTCCAGGGCAGGGTGGCATGGTAGAGGATCACTGCAGAGGAGAAACAGTTCATGGCAGTCAGAAAATAGCAAAAGCAAGCAAGCAAACCAAGAAGTGACTGTTATGGCTTGTGTTTGGATGTGCCCCCAAAGCCTCATGCTTTTTCAGAGGTGGCTGAGTCTAGAGTGTGTGATTGATTCATGGTGGGGCTAGGCCCTTGGCAGTAGGATTAAGGGTGTGAGTGCTACCCACCCTAAGTACTCTAAATTAGATGAAAAGGGCAGAAAGATGCTGTTATTTTGCTTCTTTGTGCACTCATGTTGTTTCTCCTCTGTAATACCTCTCTACCATGTGCCACCCTGCCTTGGAGCCAGCTGATTATGAGCTGAAACCTCTGAATTATAAGCCAAATAAACCTTTCCCCCTTTAACTTATTTTTATTATTTTTTTGGCACTGGGGATCAAACTCAGGATCTTGCGCTTTTGAGGCAGGCACAGTGCCACTGAGCTAAATCCATACCCTCCCTGCCCTTTTAACTTGGAGTGTTGAGTATTTTGTCTCAGCAATGAGAGAAAAGTAATGAAGACAGTGATCATCACAGCTTCCTTCTGCCCCTTTTATATTCTATCTAGGCTACCTGGCTTAGGGTGGGTGTCAAACCAATCAGTGGCCTAATTTAGTAATCACCCACCCTTAATCCAAGTGCCCTTAATCCTAGTATTGCACCATGAATCAATCACACACTAAATCCAGCCACCTCTGAAAAAGCCCCACCTATGACTGCATGAGGCTTTGGAGGGACATCTAAACACAAGCCATAACCCACAGCAACCCTTGAGACTTTTCTAGAATTGGGCACTTAAACTGGCACATTCTTTGAAACTAGACGCTAGTGAGGGATGAAAGACAAGGTTGGTGAGGAAGGCAAGAGCCAGATCCTGTATTACCATCTTGTTGACAACACGGTGTCATAGCAATTTTCCCCTGGAAGTGACACAATCAGATTTGGGTCTCAGAGAGTCCTCTGTTGTCTGTGTGGAAAATATATTGGAACTAGCAAGATAAGAAGTGGGGAAAGCCGTTAGAAGTCTATTCAGTGATTCACAAGAAATGAGGAAGTAGTAACAATAAATATTAAAAGGGTGGCTTGAAAAATGGGGAGCTAGAATTGATAGGACTGGATATGAGGAGTGAAAGGGGAAAAGTTAATATTTTATAGGGCTGATGATATAGCTCAGGGTAGAGTTCTTGCTTAGCATGCATGAGGCCCTAGGTTCCATCCCCAGTACCACACACAAAAAATTATATTTCCCAGTTGGACTTCTACATAGACAGTGAGATTCTTCACTGAAAGACGATATCTAGCAGGAGTAGAAGGTTTTTGACCATGAACTGGACAGGTAGTAATAAAAGCAGCCATTGGATACATAGTTTTGAAGCTCAGGAAAGAGATCCAAGCTAGTTTCTGACCTCCTCTTTCAGATGAGTAATGTGCAAGAACATTGAGCCTGGCTGGGTATAAGACTAGGATAGGGTTGGCTTACAGTATGATCTGAGAGGCAGCATTCACAGATAACTCTAAAATTAAAAGCCAACCAGCAAGATAAACAAGACTGAAGGGCTAATCCAGGTATGAGACAAAAGGGTGGGTTAGGGATGTCAGCTGAGAGGAAGTGGATTCAGAACAGAGGGAAGAAGATGGGAATTAAAGGTACTCTTGGAGCTGTTGAGACATAGCTATGACAGTTTTGTATAGGATAACTTTAGCCTTGGCTATAGATGGGAAGGGGCTAGGGTTCCTGGGATATATAGATTTGGAGATCAGTAGGTAGAAAGTAATTAAGGCCATATGAATATATGAGATTATTTGGGGAGGCTGTATAGATGGAGAAGTGGTTCAATAATAGAGCCCTGGTGACCATCAGTACCTACGGCAAAGAGATGAGAAAAAGCAATGGAGAAGGAAAAACAAGAGGGTTATTATTTAACAGAAACCAAGAGACAAGACTTTTAAGAAAAAGTGGAGTTTAAGAGTGTTAAAATTAGGAAGGCTGGCCAGGGATTTAGCTCAGTGGTTTCGCTGCCTGCTGTGCAAGTGCAAGGACCCGAGTTTGATCCCCAGTTCCAAAAAAAGAAAGAAAAAAAAATTAGGAAAGCTGAGGCAAGAAGATGGGTTGACAAGTTCTAGGCTAGTCTGGGCAACTTAGTGAGACCCTGTCTCAAACTAAAAAATAAAAAGGGCTGGGGTATAGCTTAGTGGTAGAGTACCCCTGGTTTTAATCCCCAGCACCAAAAAACCAAACCAAAACCAAAAACACCAATGTTAAAGTCTGCAGAGAAGTTGGATAGGATTAAATCAGACCTTGGCTAGGGTAGTTTGTGGATACAATAGGACAGAATCTGATTACACAGAAGGGTTGAAAAATGAATGGAATGTGAGGAATTAGAGATTGTTGTAATTGCCTGCTTTCTTTTACAGCTTCTCCTCTAGTCTGCCAATTCTTTGAAGTTAGGGAACAAGTCTGTTTCATTTTCCCTGCACTTTTAGCACTTTCTCAAAGACCCTAAAATATTTTGGATTGGCCGATGAAGACTAATAATGGCTAGGGGGAATATGGGACTAAGGAAGATTCTGAGTATGTTTTTAAGTACGAATAAAAAATATAAAACATAGTATTGGTGGTTAACTCTGGTTAATAGGCTGTTTTCTGAAACCCATTTACTTTTAGTTGATAATCTATTTTTAGGGCAGTTTTAGGTTCACAGAAAAATTGAGCAATAAATAATTGTAGGTTGTATGAATACCGAATAGTTTCTCTAGTGTGAGAAACTGAAAGTGTAAATAAGGACTAAAATGTATAACAGATAATGTGAAATAGGAAGAAAAGGGGCAAAGGGGAAGGGGAAGTAGGAGGGGTAGGGGAAAGGAAAGAAGGGAATGGAATTAATATGAGAAAATGAAAAAATGGAAATAAAGTCTTTGTAAATAGGGAGGGATGGAGAGGTTGAAGGGAGGGGAGGGGACGGGGGAAAAATAAGAACCCAGAGAGATTATGTAAAGATGCAAATTTCCAATGATGAATGTCATTATATTATATACCTAAAATGTACCAATAAAATAAAATTTAAAAAAAATACTTGTAGGTCTACCATACAGTTTCCACAGGGCTTTGTGCATACTGGGCCAGAGCTCTAGAGTGAGCTAGTCCTACCTTCCCCCAGCTCCACTTTCTGATATTTTGAGGCCAATAAAAGCTTTAATATTTCAGGGCTAGAGTCCTAATTGTGTTAAAGATGCTTCTCTGTAGCACAGCCTCATTCAGCTCCCATGTGTGTTTCCCAGGAAGCTGTACTCACTCACCTTAGAGTCTGGCACCTTAGATCCACCCGTGTCATAGGAACCACCTATTGGTCAATAAAACAGAGTAGAGAGTTAACAAGAGATTTAAAGGAGGGTTCCCTACCCACCCACCCACCCACCCAGTGGTGCTGGAGATTGCATCCTGGGCCTCTGCACTGAGCTACATCCTCAGCCTTTTTTTATTTTAAAATTTTGAGACAGGGTCTCACTAAGTCACTAATAACCCAAGCGGAGCTCAAACTTGCCATACTCCTGCCTCAGCCTCCCAGAGTGCTGGGATTACGGGTGTATGCCACCATGCCCAGCTTAATTTTTTTTACTGTGGTAAAAAAGAAATAAAAAAATATAGAACACTAAACCTATTATTTTAGCTGTGTTAGGTGTAAAATTCAGTGGTATTAATTATATTCATAATGTTTGTGACTATTACCACTATGTAGTTTCAATACTTTTTAGGTATTCCAAATGGAAACTTCCCATTCCTCCTTGTTCCTACCCCCTAGCAACCTCTATTCTACTTGTCTCTATGAATTTTCCCATTCTAGGTATTTCATATAATTGGCACAATATAATATTTGTCTGAGTATTCAGTTAACAATGTTTTCAAGGGCTGGGGATTTAGTTCACTGGTGCTGCTGCCTGCCTTGCAAGCACAAGGTCCTGAGTTTGATCCCCAGTACAAAAAAAAAAAACAACTCCCCAAAAACCCAATGTTTTCAAGATTCGTCCATGTTGTAGCATGTATCAAAACTTTATTACTTTTCATAGCTGAATAATATTCCAATGTATTTAGATACCACATTTTAAAAATCCATTCATCAGTGGATGGACATATGGGTTATTCCCAACCTTTGGGCTACTGTAAATAATGCTATGATGAGCATTTGCATGCATCTGTTTGAATTCTTGTTTCAATTTTGGGAGGATGCCTAAGTATGGAATTGCTATGTCATATGGCTTTTTTTTTTTTGGTACTGGGAATCGAACTTGGGACCTTGTGCTTGCAAGGCAGGTGGCGGAACCATTGAGCTAAATCCCTGGGCCCCATATGGCAATATAAAGGAGGGTTTTTTAAAAGCTTATTTGTTCTGATTCTCCATCCTAGACTTGTAATCAAGCTGCCTTAAATCCCCCAGGGCACCTAACCCTCAACACCCCAGTAAGATGCTTTCCGTAAGTCAATGACAAGAAGAGGTCATCTGCTTGGGTCCCTGCTATTGTCTTAAGTGAGGCTAGAGGTGTAGCCCTAGAGATTAGTTACCTGATCTATGAGAAACTCCCAAGCTCAGCAAGGCCGCCAGCCAGAAAAGTTATCTAGGCTATATGTGAAACTAGTATACAGTGTTTAGGGTTCTTGGACAGGATAGAGGATAAACAGAATGGGGTGGAAGACAGTCCTGATTCCAAGCACAGAACTTTTCAACCTTACCTAGTGTGTGGTGAAGTCTTACAAGGAGCCAGAGAATTACAATCCTAATCCAAATCAACTCACCCCAAAATAACCTGTTTGTATGTTTATACATACAAAAACTTATTTGGCAAGAGTATTAGGAAATATTGGGATGCTATAGTTCTTTTTAATTTAAAATGTTTAATTTTTAAAACTGAGGTGAATTTCACATAATACATGATCACTTTGTTTTTATTTTTTTGTCAGGCTATCACTATGGAGTCCAGGCTGGCCTTGAACTCACTGAGTAGCAAAGGCTGGCCTTGAACTCAAAATCCTCCTGCCTTAGCCTCCTAAGTACTGAGATTATAGGAGTATGCCACCATGCCTGGTTTAATTAGCTATTTATTTTATTTGTTTTTAATTTATTTTTTGTGGTACTGAGGTTTGAACCCAGGGCCTTTGCACTGAGCTATATCCTCAGTTCATTTTTAAAATTTTGAGACAGAGTCTCACTAATTCGCCAAGTTTCGCAGGTGGGGCTTGAACTTGAAGTCCTGACTGTGCCTTCCAGACTGCTGGGACTACAGTTATACACCATAAAATTTGGCTTAATCAACTATTTTCAAGTATACAACTTAAGAACATATAGTACATTTGCAATGTTGTCTTACTACAACCTCTCTCTGCTTTCAAAACTTTCCATTACCCAGAACAACATCCCATAAGCTCTAGCTTTTCTGATGTGATCATCTTCCTCTGCTGGCTGAGGTGCTGGGCATGGCTATTCACATGCTATCACCAGGAGACACCTATGCCTAAGACATAAGATAAATGAGGGATTGGGTCTGGGAGACAATGATCACCCTGTGAGGGCTTCTTTTAATTTAATTTAATTTAGTTTAATTTTCTGTTTTTTGGTACTGGGGATTGAACTCGGGACCCTGTGCTTGCAAGGCAGGCAGCGGAACCACTGAGCTAAATCCTCGGCCCAGTTTAATTTATTTTTTATTATGACTTCTTTTAATACTATTGGTCTAAAAGGGAATCGGGAGATTAGTAGCTTCAGTAACATACTGACTGCTCCATCTATTTTAAATTTGTTTAATTTTTATTTGTAATTGACAAATAATAATTGTATATATTTATGAGTACAATGTGATGTTCATATATGTATACATTGTAGAATGATTATATCAAGCTAATTAACATGTCCATCCCTATATATTTTTTTTAGTAGTAGGAACATCTGAAATCTACTTTTAGTAATTTTGAAATATACAATATATTATTATTAACTCTGGTCACTATGTTCTGCAATAGATCTCAAAAACTTATTCATCCTGTCTCCTTGTACCCTTTTGGCAACACCCTTCTGATTTAATATGAAAATGAACTGAGAGTGTTGTTTTTCCCTAAGAAACTGGGAACTCCTGTGAGGACAGAGACTAAGTGTTAAACATCTTGCTATTCTCAATGCCTAACACAATGGATTATATCTACAAGGTACTAAATAAATGCTTTTAAGTTAGAAATGAGTGGGCTAGGTGGTCTTTGCCTAACGAATAAAAAAACTGTGAGGCAAATGTGAATTTCAGAAGCTTATAGATTTAGAACTAATATATTACTTTTTTTTCTTGAGACAGGCACTTTCTATGTAGTCTAGGCTGCCCTGGAGTTCAAGATCTTCCTGTCTCATCCTCCCGAGTGCTGGGATTACAGGTATATGCTACCATGCCTGGCCTAAGAGTTAGTTTACTCTTGAAATCCAGGGCTCAGGAAGACGGTGAAACATGCATACCATAGAGCTTTCCATAGATAGAACACTTATTGAAGACCATGATGTTCCGAGTCAGGGTCCCTGTTTTGTCAGAGAACACATATTTGACCTGGCCAAGCTCCTCGTTAAGGGTGGTAGTACGAGCCTGTGCAGGGGTGTTCTTTGGTGCATAAAACATCTTCCGATCCCAGTTGATATAGAAACTATTCCCCAGTCTTATTATTTCAACACTAGGGAGAAAAGAAACGAAGGGTCCTGGTCAGAGTAGCACAAAACAAAGCATTATGTTGGTTTCCTTTTTACAGGTCCAGCTCCTACAGGGAGCTCAGGGCCAGCATCTGAAAATCAGAGTATCTTCCCTGGGAACCTACCTTTCTGAAGGACCTTTCCCATCAGCCAGCTCATCATGAAAGGCTTTACCACCTGGATCCAGGTATTCTTGATTAATCTGTCTTATCTGAGTCATAGCCTTTTTCACTCTTTCTCCTTCCAAAATGTGTCCAAGAAAAGTCAACAGTTTAAAAATTTTTGAATAGTTAACTTATAAAAGGAAACATTGGGCTAATTAAAGGATTATTATTGCTGTCATGTGGGGAAGAGAGAGAAACTTGTCATACTTAGAGTTTGTTTCAGAAGAAGGGAAGAATCTGTGAAGTCAGACATGGTTTATGGGCTGACTCTCCGATAAATTTCCAGGCAAGCCACCCCACCTGTGGTGAGTCTTCTCCCTGAGATAGCCTCTTTTTTTACGTGGATTTGCCTATGCCTTTGTCATAGTCCTTGTCTGCTGCAGATAACATGCATTATGGATTCTTTATCGTCAACAAGCATTTTCCATTTTAAAACAGTAAAGACTTTTAGGGGACTGCTTGCTGTCATCATCCATACTTAATGTGTGTTAAACTGCTTTATTCATAATCTCTGTCTGAGACAGCAGTATTAAGAAGCCTGTATTTTTTTCTCTGAGCTGAGGAAAGAGGAGCTTGATGGAGTCTTCTACTGATGATCTTCAATTTTGGAGCTGGATCTCCCTGCCCAGCCTTTACCATACCAGCCACCATCATGGACTCTCTAAACTCAAACATCGAATCACATTCTTTTTTTGAAGGCAGTTGGCGGAACCACTGAGCTAAATCCCCGGCCCATCACATTCTTTTTTTCCTTAGAAAAATCTTGGCTGGCTTTTTATGGCTTTTAGGATAAAATCCAAGCTCTTTGGCCTGTAATTTAAGGATCTTCTGGACCTGACCCCAAATTACCATCCAACTAGCTTTTTAAAAACCTCCATACCTCTGTACATACTGAGCTTTCTGTTTGCAATGCTCCTTCCCTATTCTCTTTTTCCAAATATCAACTTGATTATTATCTTTGTGCAAACTTTCCTAAGCTTCTCCAGGCAGAACTAATCTATTCCTTCTCAAGGCTCCTATACACTCATTTCAATTACATCATTTTTCATATTGTACCATAATTATTTATGTATCTGTTTCCATAGCTACATTGCAATCTTCTCTAGAGAAAGGCATGTTTAGGCTTTTAAAACTTTTAACTTCATCTCCCTAATGAGTGTATAATTCAATCTTATTATTGTACTGATTAGTATTTTTCTGATTCTAG